ATCCTTGACTGGGACAAAACAGACAATGAGACCACAGGTAGACAGAGCATTTGTTTACTGTCTTTGCTGGCTTAAACTAGACACAGTATTGAAGGAGGTGATGGACAACTTGAGAAATGAATGGGAAAAGTTGCAATGTCCAATATGGCAGCTGTTGGAAAGAAAGTTAAAAGAGCCAGCTGCCTTTTTTATGGATGTGAAGTCTGTTTTTTTACCTCTGGAATGTGCATTAGCTGGGCAAGCCTGAAAAAATATTGGTTTTTAGCATTGGTTTGAGCTTAAGAAGCTAAATTTATGATTCCATTGTTGTCAGACTTTATTGCTAATTTGAAATATGGCTTTGAAAAGTTATTTTGACAAATTTTAACAGATTTTTAGTCTTTCTCCATTCCAGCAGATAGAAGTTATACTTTATGTCCATTACCTGCATAGAAAATAGCTGCCAAGATGGCCGCCAAGTGAACTGGCTTGCCTTGAGTGGACTTTGGTTAAACTTACTTTAGTTGGATTTAACAAGATATATGAGATACAAAAATGAAAATTGTCATTATTTGCTCATTCCAAAATTAGGTCATTCCAAACCTGTATTACTTCCTTCCATGGAATAAAGGAGATAGACTACTGTACAAAAGTTTGATATTTTAATGTTTTTGAAAGAAGCCTCTTATTCTCACTAAGGCTACATAAAGTAGAAACAGTAATATTGTGAAATAACTCTTTTTCTCTTTGAATATATTTTATGTAATGTTTTCCTGTGATGCAAAGCTGAATTTTCAGCATCATTACTCCAGTCTTTAGTGTCACATGATCCTTCAGAAATCATTCTAATGTGCTTATTTGGTGCTCAAGAAACATTATTATTATTATTATCATAATTGGATTCTTTGATAATTAGAAAAGTACAAAAGAAATGTACCAAAAACAGTAGTGTTTTTATTTATTTATTTACTTACTTGCTTGCTTACAGTACTTACTTACTTATCCCCAAAATCCAAATAGTATTGAAAAACACCATTAATGTAGTCCATTGAATAGAATAAAGCAGCTCAGACATTCTGGGAATCTCCTTTGATGTTGCATTAAAAATTTGAAACAACAAATTATGTTTCTGTTGTATCAATAGAATATGAGGTAGTTTCCTCCACCAAGGGTCTGCATGGAGAGGAGGTGTCTGTCCAGACAACAAATCAAACACATACAGCTGTGGAGAACCTGAAACCAGAGAGCAGGTATGAAGACACACACCATGTCATGGACTTCAATAGTTATTAAATTAAGCTAATAGCTACACACTAACTCATAGTCCTGCCCTTACAGACAACTTATTAAACAGCGTATCGTTTAGTGCTGTTATGAAGCTGTTTTCGCTTTGGGGCCGTAAAGGTCCACTTAATGTTTGTTACAAGAAAATACACCTGATTAGTAATGTTTGGTTGTCTGATCAACATAACATTGTTTCAGAATTATCAACTCTATTTTGTCTTGTAGTTATGAGTTCAAAGTTACACCCAAGAATGAGCTGGGTTCTGGCCCAGCCAGTGAACCGGTCACCTTCAGTACTGAGTCAGGTAAGCGGAGAAGAAATGTTAAATTAATTCATTGTGAATACATTGTGTGTTCAGAATATGTGTAAGAGTCTCAGCTAAAAGTCCCAGATCTGAAACCACAATCTGGTCTGAGCTCATTGTGAAATAATTTGGCTCATCCAGTGAATCTGAGCTCTGTTTGTTCTAGAAGTGTCACTGGGCCAGTTGTATCAACAAGAGAAGCTTTAATGGTTTTTACTTTTAGAGTTTTTGCACTATGTTTAAGCTCATCTTAAGCCATACAAGAGCCTTGTGTGAAAAACAGACCTAAACATAAATCATTATTCACTTAAATCTCATTCATGCGTCAAAACATTCGAAAGCATTGTGATTAGTCACAAGTTGCGTGAAAACCGATTATGTTTGACATCACTGAACAATTGAAAGAAACTGGCACTCATATGATAGAAGAGTCATGCAGGCCAAGGTAACGTAAGAATGAGACATCAAGCTCACAGGTGTGTGTAATTGGCAATGCTGTAATGTATATGTATAATTAGCATATAAACATTACTGTCAGCAGTGAGAGTAATGTGCCTAATGTTCAACTAATAGTTCCAATGTGTTCTCTCTTCTGGCTCCATTGCACTTATTTACTGTAGGTAAAGGGGCCCTGATAGACTGCCAGAAAATAATAATAACCATGAGGATATCTGACACAAGCTCTGGAAAATTGTACATCATGATAGTGAGGACATGTCAGGGGAATTTCTTGGGGCTTTGGATTTTTAATAACTTAAGTTGAAAACCATGCTGTTTCGTTATATTCAGGCGTTGAGTGTAATAATAATTACCTGAATGGCATATGTTTATATGTTTGGATCAGCCTAATTTATGTATGTATAGTTTCATAGTAGGTATGATAAAATGGTTTATTTCATTAACTTTTAGAGGTACATTTGCATATACACTATGTTCAAAAGTTCGGGGTGAGTAAGATTTTTGTTTTTGAAAGAGATGATGCATTAAAGGTTTTTTTGTTTTCTATTTATCAAGGAATCCTAAAAAAAAAATGCATCACCGTTTCCACAAAAAGCAAACTATTTTCAACTTTTACAATACTACAAAATGTTTCTTGAGCACGTCAGAATGATTTCTGAAGGATCATGTGACACTGAACTGACTGGATTAATGGCTGCTGAAAATTCAAAATGGAATAAATTACATTTTACAGTATATCCAAATAGTTATTTTACTGTTGTTTTTACTGTTTTTGATGAAAGAAACAAAATGCAGCCTCGGTGAGCGTAAGAGACTTGTTTCAAAAACAGAAACTAAATCTTACTGACCCCAAAATGTCACATCAACAATGCATTAAGTTGCAGTGACATCATGTTCTTCTGCGTTGCAGCTGATCCTCGTGTGAGTGAGATCCAAACCGGTAAGAGTGTCAGTCACCTCAAGCATACAATATTAAAAATAGAAAGACGCAATATGCCTATACCAGCTGTACATGTGTGTCTAATCATTTATATTGGCTCTCATAGGTAAAAATGCCATCTGGTCATCGTTTCCATTCAAGTCTGACTCGTACTCCGAGTGCAATGGGCAGCAGTTCATAAAGCGGACCTGGTACCGCAAGTTTGTGGGTATCCAGTTGTGCAACTCTCTTAGATACAAGATCTATCTGAGCGACTATCTCAAAGGTCCGTACAGTATTAACCATTTACCAACTCGACAGATATTTCTGCCATTTAGTTACTTTTTAGTTCTTTCTTTCTCCAGGGAAGTTCTACAGCATAGGAGATCAAACTGGGTATGGAGAGGATCACTGCCAATTTGTTGACTCGTTCCTGGACGGACGAACCGGTGGTCCTCTTCCACCAGATCAGTTATCACCCAGAAAAGGTTTCTAATAAAAACAGGTTTTATTTAACAAGAACACAGTAATCTAACACTAGTATGCGAGATATGACGATTTCTCCTGTCTTATCAAGGCTTTTACCGGGCCATGCGTCAAGAGCCTGTCAAGTTTGGGGACATCGGTGGAAATTCCATGATCAACTACGTGGCCTGGTATGAGTGTGGGATACCCATTCCTGGGAAGTGGTAGGACCCCGAGGAGCAGATGGAAGACGTGACGGATAAGAAACATCCGCTGCCTTTTTATGGGATGTTTGTGTAGAGAGTGATTTCTTGAAAGCATGTATCTGTATTTTCGGGTATCGGGCACATATAGAATTATTTATATACTGAAGTGGTGCAGCAAACGTACAGAGAGCTGAATGAATGTTCTTGTTGAGATTAAGAAGTTTAACTTTAGAGAATATAGGGAAGCAGGCTCCCTTAAAGGCAAAATGAATGTGTATATTATTTATCAAAATGTTAAATATGCCACTGAAACTAAAATGACCACGGCCAACTTAAAGGAATGTTCCAGGTTCAAAACAGGTTTTGTAGACAGCATCTATAACATTGTCATCACAGAAAATAATTTTTACTAACACAAATTATATTTGTATTATATAAATATAATTTATGTGATATAAATATATATGTATAATTATAAAAATATAATTACATTTTTTATTCTTCTATACTTTTTACTAAAAAAAAACGTTTGGTGGGATGGTGAACTTTTGATCATGCACTACCAATGTAATTCCTAAAGGTGGATTTTTCCTCTGTCAGCAGTCCTTTTTTGGACCTTGCAAGTATTGTGCAAAAGTTACCAGGTTTACTGGCTTTATATGGTCATTGTAGTTGAAAAATTGGACAGTCTACATCTGTACAGCTAGTACACTAGTCTCATGTGAATATCCTAATTAAATTTTTTGGCTTTATGAAATACTGTGCATTTTAACGTTTATCCGGGTGCAATGCTTTGCCCCATAGACTTTCATTGGAGGTGCTTTATTTAAATTTTTTTCCCCAAATAGAGTTGAATGATTTTTCTGTTATCGTCAATATGTCACAGATGCTGTTAACAACATGCTGAGTGTACTAAGCCGGAAACATTCCTTTAACAGCTCAAGCGCAATGCTAAACAAGGAATTTAAAGACTAGGTCATATAAACTATTATTCAAGACATGCAGCTTTTCAAGTAATTGTTGTAATTATAGTATGTATGAATGTCAGAAATGCAACATCTCTTTAACAAGGAAGTATATTTTGTACAGAAGTTCAGTGACTCATGATTTCCAGAAAAGGCTTTTAAATGCCAGATTTTATGTAACTTGTTTTTACATTGAAACATTGATATATTTTATAAGGTTTAAAATGAATCTGCTTTACCAATAAAAGCACAAGCAAGTTTATTTTATGATCTCTTCTTTTTTTTGGTGGCTAGTTTAAAATGGTTTCTGAATCTGACATGAAAAGATACAAGTTTTCGTGTTTTTTTTATTTGATGCAATCCTGACCAGTTAAAGAAAGTTGTTAATTCCATGAACAAATGAACAACGATCCCATCATTCAGTCTCAAAGTCTTTATTCACCTCCTGAAAACAATGTTACAGTTTATACAGAAATGACAGGCTTCACTGCAGAGGGCCAGTCAGGGGTTAATAAAAACCAGGACATTGGGAAAAAGTAAAGAAAACTAAACAAATATCACTTACTTTGATTATGATAATTTTCTAGTGTTTAAACAGACTCATGGTTTATGACAAAATAACACCAATGAGAAGACCGTGATAAAATAAAATGCACACACACACACACACACACACACACAGCTGTCCACTCCCACACCATTTGGTCTTCCATGTGTGCAAACACACACATACAACCTCACAGTCTCATTCTCACACGCATTCATTCAATCACGCAAAGCACAAACAAACACAAACAATATTAGAATGTCAAACACAGATTTTGGGGGCTGATGTGTTGGAGACCGAGAAAACTTGTAGCGAGGTGCTGTGGGGACACTAAAGGCCTTTTACCGATAGCCAGGGCCCGGCTGGGTGTAGCCCTGGCCAAAAGGGGGGCGGTTTCGGGCATAGGGGGCGGAGCCAGGAGCACCAGCAGCCTGAGAAGTAGGGGCGGGGTAATTCTGGAACTGCTGCTGAGGAGGCGGAGCCTGAGGAACACCAGACTGAGGAGTATAACCAGCTGAAAAAGAGGATTAAATAAATTATATATATATATATATATATATATATATATATTTTGTAATAATATACACTACCGTTCAAATGTTTGGTAATTTTTTCATTTTTTTTTTAAAGAAATTGTGCAAGAATGCGTTGTTAAATAAATTTAAAAAAAAGTGATGGTAAAGATTTATAATTTGAATAAATGCAGTTCTTTTTAACTTTTTATTCATGAAAGAATCCAGAAAAAAGTATCACAGGTTCCAAAAAATATTAAGCAGCATATCTGTTTCCAACATTGATAATAAATCAGCATACTGTTAAAAAAATCTGAATGATTTCTTAAGGATCATGTGACACTGAAGCCTGGAGTAATGGATGATGAAAATTCACCTTTGCATCACATAATTAAGTTATATTTTACAGTATATTAAAATAGAAAACCGTTATTTTAAATTGTAAAAATATTTCACAATATTACTGTTTCTTTTCTGTATTTTTGATCAAATAAATGCATCCTTGATGAGCAGAAGAAACGTCTTTTAAAAAAACATTAAAAATCTTACTGATCCCAAACTTTTGAGTACTAGTAGTATATTTTTATTTAATGCCTTGTCAGCATCTTAGGCTATTTTCATGGCAAAAACCATTTAAAAAAAATACAAGTATTCCCAAACTTTTGAACGGCAGTAAATAATTAGTATATATTTCACATTTTACATTATTTACATTTTATTAATAATTATGTATTAATAACGAATGCATATATTATTAACTAATTTTGTTGACACTTTTCAGAGAAAATCCAGCATCACACTAATTTGAATAGTTGTTTGCAAACGCCTGCATCACATTTGTTAGGAACAGAGCTTAAAGCTGAGCTCTAAATCATGAAGGCATCACTAGCAGGTGTTTTAAAGAATTACCAGGGTACTGCATCCCGTACTGCTGCTGGGGTCCAGCTGTTGGAGGGTATCCACCTGGAGCCTGATACTGCTGATACATCTGACCTGTTTAAAACAATAAACATGTTTCTGTGATTAAGACAACATAAATTCATGTTTTTGTCCAGGATTAAGATTCACACTGTTAAGGGAGGGAATTCTTATAAAAATCCTGGACATCAACAAGCAGCTTGTGGATCCTAGCGAGGATATCCCACTGTTACTCGGTTTCATCATCAAACGTTTGAGAAATATCTGGGACACCAGAGGGCCATAAATATTAAGAACTGATCTCTCTCACTCGGTGTCGGAATATATTTTAATGTGGGATATCTGGCATGTTACTCTGGAATATCAACAAATAAAGAGCCAATACAGAGAGGCTGATTGAAAACATACAAATAGGATAGCCACATAAAATTGAGCAGATGATAGATCGTCCAAACGCTGGCAGTCGGTGACAGCCTGACCATCTGCGTAGAGCACAGCTCCTGATTGAAAGCAGCATGACCTGCCAAATCAAGACCCGTCCTGCATTTCTCAAGTACACTGGACTGATGTGGGCGTTTTTTGGAAAGAAAACGAGGGGAGATATTTCAATGGCCAAGTGGAGAATAACATCATGCTCTGAATTCACTACAAAGACTTCTGAGCCACATGATTCCTTGTTCATCTTTCTTTCGCTGGACTCTTTCCCGTAAACATCAGAAGGAAACATCTGCAGTAAGGATGTGCAAAACTGCTATTCTCTAAATCGACTGGCCAGTCTCTATAGACTGTTTTCAAATTGTATGATTAGACAGGGTCACTCGACCCTGATCAGGTGTGTTTGTTAGTGGGCTTTACGTAAGACACACTGCTTATAAGCGACGTCATTCTAGATCACACTCTACATCAAGTCCCATTTCAGACTTTTGGTACAAGTTTTAAAAGTGGTAGATTTACCATCCATAGTAGCAGAGGGAGGTTGTTGGACCCCTGAGTAAGCTGGAGGAGCCTGGGGAGCCACAGCAGAAGGGGGCGCTGCAGAGGATGAAGAGGCAATACTGTCTGGAGTTGCAGAGCGCTCCTCTGCAGCGGCGGTGGCGGCTACAGCTGGAACTGGAACACAGGGAAGTGTATAGGTGGTTCAAGATCTTAAATATGAATGGATGAGTTACACTAGAAGCCATAAAATAGCAGGTAAGCACACCTGTGACAGCACATCAAATGAAATCTGTATTAATGCAGCACAAGGCTATAAACCATTAAATAGCATGATCTGTGTCTTTAATCAAGTAATTTATCACAATGATCAATGCTATGGCTGAAAAAAAAAATAAAAATCAACCAAGCACTATGAAGACTGTACATGTATATGGTACCTTGGGCAGGTTCCTCAGACAGGCCAAATGCAGAAATGACATTCTTGTTGACCACTTCCTGGTTCTTCAGGGGGTCAAATGCAGACATGCTAGCAGCACTGACTGGAGGGGCCTGCTTCACTGTTGAATCTACTGCCTCATTCACACATTCTGTCACCCAGAGACATCAGAACAAGACAGCTTTAGTATCGCCTGTCTTCCCCTCTCAAGGAACATTTACGAGGTAAAGAGATAAAAAGAATGAAAACTCTGTCATCATCCTCACTGTTCCAAACCCATGCACTAAATGTGGATGCATTCATTCAAATGTGTCAATTTTGATGCCAGATTATCACTTTACAGCTTAAATATCAGCCTTTTCAATAAATAAAAATGTCTTATTGACACATTGACTATTTTTGAGTTGCTTTTTGAAATTTGCCAGCCCCTGGTCACTGTATGCTTTTGATTGTATGGTAAAGAAGAGCATGAACATTTACCAAAAATCTCCTTTGGTGTTCCACAGTAGGAATAAAGTGTTGTGGGCTTGCAATAATACAAGGATGTGTAAATTACTACATTTTTACTGAACTAACCCTTTATGTTGTCCACCTTTTTTAATCTAAATAAGCTTTTAAGAGAGGCTTTATGTGCTTCAAATGCTTTGGCTAAAGTACTGGATATGAAGAACATGAGAATCACTCTGGGAGAGTTCAAGTACCGGTTTCTGGGTTGGTGCTCTCTGGGACAGACTCTGATGGGGGCTCCAGGCTGTCCAGCAGGCTGTTGACTTTATTCCTCAAATGGATCAGTTCTCTACGCAGGTGTTTCACCTGAGACGACTCCAGTGGCCGAGGCTGCCCATTCACTGCGAAAACACAAACATTATTTTTGAACACTTTGTTCAAACTAGTCAAAATGCATCTGTCCATGTTAGTTTTTATCCTAACCAGCTGCCAGACATTTCATTGACTGCTTTCTTTCTATTTTTGTCATGTTTTCTTTTATCCAAAACCCCATCATAACATATTAAACATCAAACATGTTCTAATTTGCTGTGATTTTGTCATTTCATGCAGCTTTTCGCTTACAAGGAGGACAAAAAAAAATAAAAAGCTCAATGCTGGAAGCTTGTCCCAATTCGCCTGGTCAGGATGTCAACAAGTGAACAACAAAATTAGATCATTTAGATAGCCAGACTATGTCTATATGATGAGGTAATCCAGAGGTTTGGCACTGTGTGTGAGTCTGGAATGTTCTTTCCTGAGTCCATATGTGTGAGACCGGCAGCCACTTGAACCGTTCAAGACTCTTCAGAGATCACAGGAGCTCTAGCAGGCGTCCAACCCAGTCTCTGGGCGCCAGTCACACGTTTGGGATGCATACACGCACGTGATATTATACAACCATGAACCAGCACATTTGAACTCATAAAATCTTCTTCCCAAAATTCTCTTTAAGTAGTTAAAGCATCCAACAAAGGGCAGGGCTACATTTGCTGACATAAGGTCAAGACATGACATCATCTGGCTGGAGCATGGAGGCATTGGACAGTGCAGAGTGCAGACTTGACCAAAAGTTATTAATTTCTTTTTATTAGGAAAAGAAACACATGTATTTTGAGTTGGTACTTAAATCAGCTCATTCATTGTATTGAATAGGAGCATAAATAGTGGATTTAGTTAAACCCACACAGACTGCAACCTTTGATTTTGGCTAGGCTTGATAAATAAATCACGGTGTAAAATAGTGTATGAATCAAGCAGCCCAAATCTACAGGCTCTGCAGCATTTATGATGACACATTTGAAGAGTAGTCGGCACATGCTGAGAACTGCAGTGCAGATGTACCGGTGTGAGCCAAACTTTGCTAGAACAGAGCATGACGTTACTGGCAAGTAACCAGGTCCGATTTTCCTCTCTTGAGAATATTTGTTTGTGCCATGTACCAGTTAAAGAGAGTGGCTTTTCAGCACAGCTCACGTGATTGAGAGCAGACTGTCTGTAAGTCTGTAAAATGACCTAATCTATCTTAACGGAATAGTTCACCCAAAAATGAAAATTGCTATCACTAATATTTACTCACCACCAGGCTGTTCCAAACCTGTATGACTTTATTTCGTGCAGAACACAAAAGACGATATTTTGACAAATTGGAAACACTGGATCCCACTGACCTTAACTGTAAAGTTTTGGGTGAACTTTCTCTTCAGTCAGTGGTTCTCAAACTTTTTAACTCCAAGTCCCCTCACTTGTCCACAACAATATTTATTCAAAGGCCCTAGTTTTGCTTTCAAAACTTATTTTTAATCTATGGGCATTCAGTTTCTGTAAATTAAAAAATGTTTCAGGAGCTGAATGTTCTTCAGTGTTCCCACTCATTTTAACCAATTAATTTACAGTCATTCTCCGAACATACAGTCATTTGTGATTTATTTGATAATGATTTTTAATTATTTAATTTTTGCAATTTCTACCCAATAAAATATTTTAGAGCTTGGTATGAATATTTAAATGTTTTTATATATATATATATATATA